CTATTAATTATAGAGCAAACTGCAATATTATGAAGTAATGCACAACAACCAATCAGGAACCAGTCTTTAGTAATCAGATAACCTGCAAAAAGCTGATATCTTATTGGGGTCAGACAAATTGTAGTATGTTGGAATATGTAGATGACTGTGAAATGGCTGGGCACCTATGCCAGTCTCTTCTTACGCTTCTTGTTCAGCAAGTGCATAGTAAAAGGACTAGATGCAATACATTTTGCAGCAAGCAGGAAAGTAATAGATCCTACTCCGAGCTGGTCATGTTGCTTGCCTCAGAGATGTTTGGACTGTTTAGGTCACAGTAATCGGCCTCAAAAGGGCCAACTAAGAAACAATGGCCAGTGATTTCCAGTAGCCAATACCCACCAAATAGAAATCAACTTTGATTAGGCTGACTATAGTCATCTGCTGAAGGTTGGCGTCTGACTGGTTGTAGTGGTTTGTGGTCTACCATTGCTAAGTGCAATATGCTGCTAGATAAATCTCAAGTATTTATGTTGTGCTAAGTACAATTATCTGGAGCTACACTGGTGTATGCATAGGTGTTACATGTCCACCAATAAAATGCTTTACCAGTAATAGATTTTTTTGCTATCTGCACATAGGACTGGGACAAATATGACAATGAGTGCATTTGATCACCAAAGCTAAAGTGATATTTTCCTTTCTGAAGATAAAAAAAAGAATTGCATTGAATTTAGTGGTCCCTGCTTTTCTGTAGCAACAAAAAGGCTATTGTGGTACTTGGCTTAACATTTGCCCATTGTACATAAGTATACTGGTAACAGTACAATGTTGGAGTTGGTTGAGAAACATGGGGGTGGGGTTTCAAATGTTAAGACTTATGACTTTCACCTGTTATAAATGTATCTGCTCAGAGGTGTAGTGTAAAGTCACACTGACTGGAACTATCATCAGGCCCTGATGGTAACATAGAGCCCTGAAGGCTTGGATTGCAACCTGTATAAATGCCTGTGCAGGGGAGCCCTTTGGGGTAAGCCTATAGATGTCACCTCTGAGCATAAAGGGGATTTCCATATTCAGGGCTGTCCCAGAGAATGCAATCTGAGCAGCCACCATATATCTCTGCATAATGGCAAACTGTATGCAAAAGATCCGGTGCCACCATATAACAATGTCATGTTGATGGCCTAACACATTTTTAGTACATGTGCCAAAGGGTATTTTAATAAAAAGCTTCAAGAAACAGCTACGTCTGACAAAGTATATCTCCAGGAAAAACTTTTTTTTGGACAGAGCAGGGAACAGTAAGTGAAGGGAAATCTCCAACAGGGACAAAGACAATAAAATGCTCATATTGTAATAGATTCAGGGAACGCTAAAAACCCGTCAGCTTTCTATTTCTATTTTTGCCCACATTAGCAATGTTTCCTCAGTTCCTGCACTGGGGACAACACTGTCACTGGGAAAGGGAGTGAAGGGAAATCTGAGACCACAGCCATCAATATAAACCTCGCAAATGTTCTAACCCTTCCCCACTCTGTCCAAGCCAAAACAAGTTTTTAGCTGAAGATGTTGTCTAGTGCTTGCTTCAATAACACTCTATTCAATGATATAACAATGATCACTTTTGATTGGTTGCTATGGGTTGGCTGCATACTGCCCTATGCATTCTCAAAGGGTTTTGTGTCACAAATCTATGTATGACGTACTGTACACAATAAAGCAGTAACAAAGTCTCAGATTGTGATGTTAGATGGAAATTAAAATATTAAAAGGATATATTTACTCATGTGCATTTTAAAAATCCATTAACTGCATTTACATGGCATCAAAATGCTATAAGAAAAATTAAGATGGGTTTGTTGTGCTGTGCAAGCACCTACAGGTTATTGGTCAGAAGTGCCTTATCAATGTTTAAATCCCTAAACTGGTGTGGCTTGTAAAAATGGGTGTGGCTTTTCCAAATTTTAGCGGAACGTGAACTAATCTGCTGAGGCTTGATCTTCAGTTCTAAAACATAGGGAAGCGAGTCATTGGTGAACATTGTGCCTTAATGTATGAAAAGTTGCTGTATTTGAAAAGATTTAGCACACAATTAAAATCACAGATTATGTTGCCGAGAATCTCACACCTTAAAACACCGCAATAGTGTAAATTCCAGTTTACTGAAGCCATCTCCATATAGGCAGGATGGTCAGTCTAACTATAACAGAATAACCACAAGTGTACTGTACTGTCACAAAAGAACATTCAAGGTGCACAGACTCAATCTTGCAGTTTTTGTAAATAACCCTTTAGAGGTTTGATCCTGTAACCTACAAGTATAATGCTCTGTGTTTTTTTTTAACTGTTCTTATGATATAATTTGTGTCCACTTTATTAGGTACACCTGCTCTTTAATGCAAAAAGCCAAACAGTGAATCACCAAAGCATGAAGACATGTTCAAGAGGTCTAGCTGTTGTTCCATTAAACATTTGCTTGGGGAAGATGAACTGATTGAAGCAACTCTGACAGCAGGATTATTGTTGGTCCCAGAAGTTGTGAGTGCAGCATCTACAAATGGCTGAATTCCAGGGATTTTCAAACGTAGAGACTGTTTATAGAGAATGTTGTGAAATCCCCAAAAATCCAGTTAACAGCAGTTCATTTTACAACAGTGGTGTAGAGAAGAGGACCTCAGAACGCACAGCACACCAAGAAGATGGGCTTCACCATCAGAAGATCATTGTAGGTTCAAATGAGGATATAAAAGGGCACAAGATTAACCAAACTGGAGAAATGGAAAAACATTGCCTGGTCTGACCAGGTCTCAAATTTTGCATGCGGATAGTATAGGGTAAGAATTTGGCATAGATTGTACAGGTTCATAGACTCATTCTGTGTTGTATCAGCGGTTCAGGCCTGTGGCAGAGTATCGTTGTGGAGAATGTTTTCATGGCGTACATTAGGCCTCTTAATACCATTCAAGCATCATGTAAATGCCACAGCATACCTGAGCTATGGTGTGAACCTTATGCACCCCTTTATGGGCACTAGACAGGTGCACTTAATAAACTGGCCTTTTAGTGTGTATTTAGGTTAACATTTGCAATAAATATCATTAAGTGAAATGTTGGGTTTTGCTGAATTACAAAAACAAACATGCCAACTTTGACAAAGTTTATAAGAAAAAAATAAATAGGATAAAATGAAGCACCGGGCACTATTTATCAAAGTGATGTTCATATCGCCTATAACAATTAATCAGGCTCTCAGTATAATTCACCAAGTGCAGTATGGGACAGTCCAATAGGGACAATAAGAGTTCTTCATTTAGACATATTGACAGATAAAGCTTGGTATGGCCTCTATATCACATGAGGCAACATATGTATATATATATAGCTCTCGTCCTATGTAACAAATACTCCTTGGCATAAACTACAAACAGGAAAAAGAGAACATCAAATTAATTATCAATGATGACAAGTTAACCATGTTAAAGGGAACCGGTACAATTTTGCACATGCTGTGGGCAGTATTAAATCTATTGGTTTCAAATTTGTCATAGGTTCAAAGCAAACACCCTTTTTTTCACATACATGTGTTTCAAAGTCATTATGCTTTTCTGAAGTGAATAAAATTTGGGTAATGGGTTAATAAAATGGGTTATTGCTTTTAAACCATTGAGAGATTGCTTGTCTGTTTGACAGACCAATAAAACACAACAAATCCAAGATCCATTAGAGTTTCCTTAAAATATTGCTATTCTTTTTTGAAAAGGGGTAAATGAGGAGTCAAATGGTCTGTCTTAGATTTAAGGCCAGTTGTAACAAATGGTTCATGCAAGTGAGTAACACCATACTGAACAAATCTGCTTGCACAATGCCCACTTCCGTGCTGGAGGACACAAAGCCTCTGGATCCATGCGTGTGCACACATAGTAGATTGAGATTCAGAAGACATCTGTCTATAGAGGTGTCTATATAGGTGATTTTCTTTGTTATACCCATTAGAAAAACAATTAAAAGCCCAACAAATACTTAAAGGGTCAGTCCAACCAAAGCTGATATTTCAGTGCTATTTCAGTCCCGGGTGGACAGTTAGAGAGCTGGTGGGGGTGTGGTGACTACCAGACCAATTGCTGTTGGGGTATCCAAGATATAAAAAAAATCAGGAGCTGTCTCAGCCTACCAGGCTATAACAAAATATCACATTTTGGTGGACTGGATTTTTAGAGGTCACTGCCATCCAAAACTCTTTAGGTTTTGTGTGGTTGCTGGCAAACTGAATCACATCCTGACTTCTTGGGGATTTCTCTTGGGGTTTACAGCACTAAAATATCCCCATCAAATTCCCAGTTATGCCCACTTGCCACAGTCAATCAGTGGTGTGACAAGTGGATTCTTTATAAAGCAAAGTGATTAACTGGGAAGACAAGCTGTGAAAAAGTTACACCTTGTGAAAGGAGACAGAGACACAACTTTCTACAGTGAAATTGCACATCTGGAGTCTCTGACAGATATAAGAACCTGGCCGATGGTGATTCAAGTCAATCATACCCAGCCAAAACTTGGTATATCGTTTGATTGCAGTTGACTTTTACAGAACTCAAAATTCGCACATCCTAAATCTGGGAGCCTTAGCAGACCCATGAACAGTTGTTATACCCTTGTTGTTATACCCTTGGGAAATAATCTATTTTATGATCACCTGTAGGCAAATGACTAATTGCTTTACTACAGAAAGAACTACCCCCCATCCCCATGTTCTGTAAGGGGATGAAGCTTTGCTTGCAGGCTTATAAAACCAGCTCACCAACAACCAAGATTACAATGGATGATACAAATACAAAGCACACAACACACTTCCTACACATGGCATGACTGCAGAACGAGTGACATGATTCCTGACTAAGTGTTGCACAAGACGTCATGCTGTATACAATGCCTTCAAAAGAAAACAAATGAAGCAATGCATTTTGTGTTTCTCTCACTGACCGCGTTTAAAACAGGTTCTTTCCTAAGACTGGAATGATCCTTTTTTTTTTTTGTTTTCTTCTTTCCTGCAAACTAGTCACTCTCAGCAATTTGAGAAAGGACATTATTATTATTAAAAAATATTAGCAGTATTCTGTACATGTCAACTGCTGGAAGTTAAAAAGAATTACTAAAGTGGTGGCAGGAAGGTAGAGCAGAGTGGGTTCCTCTAACAATGTCTGCAGAGCGACACTGCAGTCCTGCAAGAGTTCAAGGTTAGTGTCAGCTTGCGGGGTCCACGAGCCACAAGAAAAAGTCTATATTAGCAAACACTAAAGGAGAAGCTTTCCATTTCGGTGGATTTTCAGGATCTTCCCAAGCCTCTGCTTAGCTGTTGCCATGCCTTTTTTTGTACGTTTACCTGAAATGATAATACAAAAGATATGAGTTAGTTCAGGGGGACCAGCAGAAACATCACCAATGGTCTATTCCAGATCTAGGAGTAGTCAAGTCTTGTAACCATGTTAGCTATTGATCACTGCAAAGTTTGTACATTTTATTGGCTAACTCAAGGTACTAAAGATTTAAGCTTTCAGAACCTCTTAGGTAGGGATGTTCAGATACCAAGTACCGTACTCGGTACAAGTACAAGTACAGATACTTTTCCAGCTCCAGGACTAGACTAGAGAAAAATTCAAAAGTTAGGAGGCAGCTGTTATTTTTAAGAAGCACACGGAGCTCCTGGGATTTGTGCATCACCATTTTAATGCATTATTTTTTTTAAATAAATATATATATTAGGGATGCACCGATACCATTTTTTCAAGTACAAGTACTGATACTTGTCCAAAGTACTCACAGGTACAAGTACTTATACATTTTTGTTTTTTTGTCGTGTGACAGTTTTTCTAAAACAATACAGACTAATGATTTCAGGACAGTGGTGGAGCGCCAGAGCCAGGTCCCAGTTGCAACCATTGCAACCCTGGTAGTTCTCATGAAAATGCCAAGTATCGGCACTGGTATCTGAACTGGTATCCGGACATCCATACTCTTAGGTCCCTTCATCAAGCCTGCGGGGTCCTGAAAGCTTGATCCCGAATTTGTAGTTTAAGAGATCCTGAAACGCTATCACGTAAAACTACAAATTTAATGCATTATCCAGGTTTTTAAGAGATTCTCCATAAAAGCAAGGCACTCCCGTGAAAATACTACTTGCCTGATACATGTGCTGATTAATTGAATCACTGACCAAGAGAATAAGAAACCTCTGCTCTGCATACTTCTTCTAGGTCAGTGATTTAGAAAGTACTGAAGCAAGAGGATTTTCATATCCAGGCAACTAGTATTTTTGGAAGAAGGTCAACATTGGCAAGCTACATATTTAACTTTACACTTTGTGGAGATGTCTTCCACAGCACGTATTGTACATTGTAAGATTACCCAAAAATAACCTAGTATAAAGGTGAGATCTGGTCTTCAGGTCAGCAGTATTAAGCTAATGTAGACAATATAATGCTATATGTAGCATGAACCTGACACACAAATTATCAATATTGCTGAAAAGAGGTCCTGTGGAGGACTTCTTATGAGAAGATGCTTTAGCCCAGTGTAGGAGCATCTTTCTTTATATTTAGGATCCTCAAATTTCCTGGGATCTTGCCAGAAGACCAGTGTCATCACCTTTGCCTAATCGCTGTGGTGGTAAGATAAGTATATTTTTAGGTTATTTTTAGGTGTGTATTTTTAATAATGTGTGTTTTTAAATTGTAGGGGGGTGGTCTACAATAGTTTATCAATTCAAAGCTTCCAGCCCACATTTCAGCCAGAAAAGAGACGCATCCTGGAAGTACAGGATGAAAGTATTACAATCTCAGTTTTAAGTTTTTAATTTTGTCACCCTGTCAACACAACACAGGAAATTAATAGCAATCTGTTCAGTGGGAACACTGACAAAGTTTCTATGGCTCCTCTACTCTGTCAAAAAACAAAAAAAAGGCTGGCTGTAAGATTTTTGGTGGAATTTTTCCTGAGGGCTCTAATGCATGACTACAAGTGACATAATTACACTTGCAGTTTAGTCATATAATCTAGACTCATTGAGTGACTTATTTTACAATATATCCCTTATACTAGTAAAATTGGCTGCAATATGATGCTCAGTATTCCTGTGTATATTGTCTACTGTGAAAGCCTCTGACTAGTCAGAATTTTTACATATTCAGGTGGTGTTTATTTGTCCTGCGTGTAGCAGACGCGTGTCTTGGCTGCGATCTGTGCTGCTAACTGAAGTGTAACTAACAATTAGCTGCTTATTTTATCAGGCAGTGTTCCATGGTGGAATGTTAAAGGTTGAGTATAAATCAAACGATATCTTCCTATATTACTGTATTATGTCATATGGAATTGTTGTCATTTTCTGCCATGATGTCTCATTTCATTACATGTGTCAATACTGCAAGGTACTTTAATGAAAATATTCAAAGCTGACAGTTGAAATAACAAAGTTTTCTAGAAAGAGCTTATAATCAAACATCTGAAACTCCCTAGGTGCAGTATTGGTGTCTGCTCCATAGCATTTAGCTGTAATTGCTGTGAGCTTATCTTGTACTTTATACATTTATTGTGCATTGTCCTTTAGTAAGGGAGGCTGTATAATAGGGTACTTTATAAATATATATGTATGTGTATATATATATATATATATATATATATATATATATATATATATATATA